CAATGTGTTCATTATTGAAACTGTCCTACCAGTTTGGTTTGAAACTGTCTCATTGGTATTTGTTTCTCAGTAAATTTATGGAAAAAAAGAGAAATAATTCTGTCCAAATCTGCTTTTTATGCTTCAGCCACCTGTTTTATGTTTATACCCAAGCTTACATACTGCTTTAAAAACATTTTTCATCGTGTAGTAAGTATACAGAGAGGGTTTGTGTTTCACTTTATAAGGTATCAAAAATATATATAAATTCCTCATCTTTGAACTGTGGCATTATAATCTCATTACGACTTTTCCAAAATTAACTGTTTCTTCACGGAGAAGAAAATACATTTAGCCTTTTCTCTCTTTTTCCTCTCTGTTCTCTTTTAGTTTATCCTCCTTTCTTTCCTTATTTTACTATTGCAGATAGTGATGCCATTGCTGAACATCTTTATAAATCACGTGCATGTATTGTCTCATGTTTTAGTATTTTTTTATCATGGATTCATGGAAGTATATGCAGGAGAACAGACAAATTTATATTTTGATAGACAGACATTGCTCTTCCCGCCCTAGAAATTCTACTACCCAGACTATTCCTATAGTTTTTACTCCTATTGTTACAAGAGGCTCTAAGAATGGCAAATACTGTAGGCATTTAAGTTAATTTTTTAAAATGTTTGCTAAGAAATGAAAAGCATATCTGATTGATGCCTTTAATTTTGTTTTCTTGTTTATTAGCAATTTTGGGCATTTTACTCATAAATTATTTACATTTTCCTTTAAATTTTATATACATATGCACTCATTTTTTTGGGGAATTGTTTATCCACTTACAATGTTAATATTTTACTTGATATCTAATGGAATTCTCAACTAAACATGTTCCAAACTTAATTCCTTTTTCTCCCTAATCTTATCTTCCTATAGGTTGATTCTTTCAGTTCTTAAGACCTTAAACTTGGAATGATCTTGCCTTCTTTTTTTTTTATCTCTTAGTGCACATCTATTCCATTGCTAAGTCTTGTTGGTTATGTGTTACAAATGGATATACATTTCTGCTACTTTTTGCTCTCTCCATAGCTGCCACCAACTGTCACAACCGCATGGACAACTTCAGGACAAATGTTCAATAATGCCATGTCTGTAAACTGTTCTTCTTACTGTTGTCTACGTACAACTTGTATTTTCTTGTTCTTATATGTATGTCTGACTTCATGTACTTTTCTTACCTTTCCTCCCATCTGCTCAGGCCATGTTTGCTTCTGTAAATGCCTTATGAGAAATTACAGAAATCCCAATCAAATTGCTGACTCTGGGTATTCACATTTTTTACTTATCTGCCTATAATATTTTGGTAGTGGATAGCACTAACCCTAACCTTAACCCTAACTCTTCAATCTCTTCTATTTGGTTTTCTTTAACATTAAAAAAAAAAAAAAAAAAAAGAGGCTGGGGAGATAGTTCAGTGCTTTAAGTACCTGCCTGGCAAGTGCAAGGACCTAGTTTTGATCCCAGGTACTGCATGCCATTCCAACCCCTCGTTTAGCTGACCACCAAAACCAGGAATGGTTATGGTGACACATGCCTATAATCCCAGCGCTGGGAAGGCTGTGTCAGGAGGATCACTACAAGTCTCAGCTGTGTAGTGAGACCTTGTGCCAAATACATAAATAAAAGGTTTTAAAAAAATATTGTTAGGTACACTGCCATCACTTTTATGTTTAAAATAGTGATAACGGTCCCTGCTTGGTATATTTAAGATGTTTTAAATCTAGTGTAAGTGTGTATATATATATGAATTGAATTGGGTGGAGAAGAGAAGGGTGAGTGAATATGGATATTGATGGGAATTTTATGTAATATGGTAATTTATAGTATGCTCCTATTTTGGAGAGCATACTAGTTTTTTCAAGCTTAATTTTTTTAATCTTGAAATTCAAAAAACAAAACGAAAAAAATAATATCAAAATCTGATTCATTTATCTGATTAAAAATACATAAAATTAAAAATTGTACATTTGAATTAATGTAAGTGTATATGTACATCTGTTTAGTTACATTTAATTTATACACTATTATATTTTTTTTGCTTTTAATTTTTTTAAAAATTTATTCAGAACAGGGTCCTGCTACACAGCTGGGACTTGTAGTGATCCCTCTACCTCAGCCTCCTCAGCACTGATGTTACAAGTGTTCACTAGCATGCCCAGTTTCAGTGGCCTGCCGGGTATAGTTTCAGCACAGCATGCAGTACTGGGGACTGAACCTGAGTCCTCGTACTTGCAAGGCAGGCACTTAGACCACTGTGCTATCTCCTCAGCCCAATTATTATAAATTATAATATCAAAATTGTTATTTTATAATGAATAATATCATTATAAAAATAGATACATATTTTAATTTGCATGAACAAATATTTTTAATTAGATAGTAGATCATTAAAAATAAATGTACCTTTTGTGTACTTCTTTTTTTCCCCATAATTTTATTGAGAAACAAATAGCAATGAGACAGTTTCAAATCAAATTGGTAGGACAGTTTCAATAATTAACATTGCATACATTCTTCCTAGTGGTTAATTGCTGTACAAGATATGGACATGATATCCTATTTACAAACATCATTAAAACTATTCATTAAGAGAATGTAACTATATATCTACCCTAACCACTTTGAATACATAGATACAAAATGGGACATTCATCTGTATCCCCTTTTTTGTTAAGTTCCGTTATTTGAATATTATAGGTGTGTAAACTCAGCAAAATATTCTAAAAAGTCCAGTAGCCCATAATAGTATTGGGTCTTCTGCTTGACTGGCAATGTCAGAAATTGTTGACCTGAGTCCCCTACAGCTCAACATAACAACATGGCTTTACTTCTTATGTTTCGATTGTGTACTTCTTTTGATTAGCATTAAAATAACTTTTTAAAAATTGATTTTGTGGCTAAGCTTTTATAATCAGAAAGTTTCCCATATGGGAATATCCATTTCCTATTGGTTGTTTTGAAAAAACATTTTTATGGATATTACTTTTATATTGAAAAATGCTTAAGTTAAATACCAGCTTAATGAATATTCATAATGAGATGCCCTTTGTATAATCAATAAATAGAACATTACCTTGACTCTGCAACTCAACTTCCCAGTCCTTGAGTAGTGGCAAAGTAATTCTAAAAGATAAAATGGTTTATTTTGATACTTTGTAATCTAACGTAGAAGATTTAAAACAATTAAAGAAACCATGTTAAAAATATTTTCTATATATTTCAAATTAAAAGTTAAATCTTTGTTAAATAATTACCTTTTCTTATACTTAGAATCCCGACCACTGTCTATTCCTGTGAAAGCTATGATGAATATATCTGACAGCAGTAGAAGTCCTGAAGAAAGAATGAAAGAGTTTATTGGAATAGTATGGAGTGCAGTAAAGAGTCTAACAGTACAGGTAAAATAAAAGTGAGAAATATCACTCAAGTTTGTATAATATTTAAAAAAATTTAGCATTATTATTGGTAAATGTTCTCATGTTATGTTAATCTCGTTTCCAATTTATTTGAAGACAATTGGTATACTTTGCTTATCACAGACCAACTTATATGAAACATGTGTGTTTTATAAAATATACATATTTTGACATGATTTTTTTTTTTTGTGGCTGGCTCAGCCTGCCCTGGGGGTGGGGCTGACGTGACAAGTGGTACTGAGGATCGAACCGTGGTCCCTACAGGTACATTAGACCACTGAGCTATCTTGCCTGCCCCATTGACGTGATTCTTAGCATTTGAAAAAGTTTATACAATTGCATACAAATATATACAGTTGGGTGTTTATCTAATTGTTCCCAGAAGAATTAGGTAAAAATAACAGAAATTTTAGGTTTTTATAGAAAGTCTTCCCTTTTTACATAAAATTTGAAAGAATGATACATAAAACATGTTTTTGGAATTCTAAGTCTAGTAGAGAGTAATATCTAAGTGGGATCAATATATTTCTGATCATTACACAAAATACTGTAAGGGAAAATTGTTCACACCCAGCAATGAAAGCATCTGGATGATGTACAAGTTTATAATTATTATAATCCTGTAGAAAGCTGAACTCTCAAATTGACGTTACCATGACTCTGCTGTGTTAAAATCCAAAATGTAAGAAACAACCGCAGGTCAAATAGTCTCACAAGATACTAAGTAGGAGAAGTAAAAAGATTAGGTATGTTATAGCCAAATTTGTAAAAATAAAAATTGTGAAGCAGGTAAAAAACAAAGGCACATTATGTATAGATGAACAATAAGTGATAGGGCTAACTTCTGATATTTTATCAGAAGACGAGCATTCAGCTGTTATTCCAGCATTCTGGGAGACCAAGACCAGATCCAAGTTGGTGTCCAACCGAGGTAACTTAGTGACTTAGTGAAACCGTGTCTGCAAATGAAACCATCCTTAAAAGATATTAGGTTGTAGCTTACTATCAGAACCTTGGTTTCTATCTCCAGTGCTTATGGAATAGTCAAGGTCCAAACAAAAATGGAGTAACATCTTCTAATGTGTCAGAGAAAACAAACTGTTAGCATAGAATTTCATGTTTAGCAAAATACCTTAGAAAACTTGTGGCAAAATAAACATATAAAGACCAAACTTTTTTTTCAGCCTAATTTGCTCTAATATATGCTAGAAAGTCTTTTTGCTGAAGGGAGAATATAAAAAAACCTTGATTTTGGAGGAAGTAATAAAGTATGACAGAAAGAATGAATGAGTTAGAAAATAACTATACAGGAAAAATATATAGTATTTTTCTTTTTCCTTTTAAACAATTGTATTGGTACATTAGATGTACATAGTGATAACATTCATCATAGGGAATTTATACCTATACATGATATTTTTCCCATTTCCCTACCTCACCTTAGACTCCTCTTGTTCTTGTTTACAAAAGCTTTGTTTCTGTTTTTTTCTTTTCTCATTTTTTCCCCTCTTCCTTCCTTTCCTCCTCCCCCCTCTGTAATTGCTCTTCTCACTTGAACATTGTCTTCTGCTTCAAAACATGTATTATACGTTTTGGTCCTTGTTTACACTTCAGTTTCTCACACTAGCCAAACAGTGTGATAGTTACATATGTATGCTGGATTTATTTCACTTTAGAATATGATCTCAAGCAGTACCCATTTACCTAGAAATGTCTGGAATCTATACTTCTTAATGGCTGAGTAGTACTTGATTGTGTAAAAAAAAATCATCTTTATCCATTCTTTGGCTGATGGGCATTTTGGCTTTTTCTATGATTTAGATATCACAAGCTGCCATTATAAACACAGGTGTGCATATATTAGTGTGGTATGATGCTTTTATTTCTTTAGGAAGATAGCAAGAAGGGGAATAGCTGAGTCAAATGAAACTTTTAGTTTTTTGAAGAATCTCCACACTGATTTCCACAATAGTTCCACCAGTCTGCAGTCCCATCAAGCAGACAAGACTTCCTTTTTCCTTACAGTCCTGAAAAAGTATGCCTTATTGAGTTACAGAAAACTATTGACTCTGCTATATGATGTACTCTACAATATGATAGCTATTTATAATAATAACTGTCAATAATTAGCTGTTTAATGTTTGCTATGATTATCAATGATAATCATAATGATATAATTACTGATGTAAGTTAAAGGCTGGCCAAATAGCTCAGCAGATTAAAGCAACTGCAAACAGGCACAGGGGCTATTGGTTCAATCCCTGGGCCTGCCATGCTGGCCCTGCCCCCAGGGCACACTGAGACTGCAATTGAGACTGGGCATGGTGGCAGGCACCTGTAATCCCAACTCTTGGGAGGCTGTAAACAGGCGGATCACTATGAGTCAGATCTAGTAGTGAGACCCTGAACACCCTGTAGACCCTTCCCTAAAATACAAAAAAATAAAATATAAGTAACTTTATACCTTTGTTTCCCCCATTTCAGTGGTACTAGGGATTAATTTCAGCACTTTTGCAGTGATCTACGTATCCAACCCTCTTTTGAGACAATTCCTCACTAAATAGGGCTGGTCTCAAACTTGTGATCCATTCCAAGTGTGATGGGATTTCAAGAGTGTGTAACTATGCCTCATTCCTCATACCTTGTTATCCACTCTATGAAGAATTGAATAATATGGTTTATTTACTCTTTTTAAAATAACATTTTGAGAGGGTCAATAACAGGGAACATGAACAGTAGTATAAGGTTAATGAATATTTGACAGCTCTAGGAAAACATTCCAGCTTAAGATTACAAGTGGTGGGCTGGAGAAATAGCCATCTAAGCACCTGCCTGGTGAGTGTAGGGTCCTGAGTTCAATCCTAGTACCACATGCTGTGCCTGTGCCATGGCCCCAAAACTGGGCGTGGTGGTGCACACCTGCAGTCCCAGCACTGGGGAGGCTGAGACAGGAGGATCTCTATGAGTCTGAGCTCTGTAGTGAGACCCAATGCCACATAAATAAATACCAAAATAGATAGATAGGGAGTTAGATAGATAGATAGATTTCAAGTAGTACCAAAGTCTTTATATTTATAAGTTAACAGATAAGCACATTTGTGTTCCACAGTATAAGATAGTGGAGCTTTTCTACATCTGTCCAGAGAAAATTAAAGAGATGAAACTTATTTTACTCCCTGAGACAGTAACAACAAAAATGAACAAAATATATAATATAAAAAGTTTGGAACACTATGCAGTACACCAATTTGAACAGTGATCTCTGACACTTAGGATAAAATCATCAGGAATTATTATTATTATTATTATTATTATTATTATTA